ACAAGATTCTTATGTCATTATTGAATTAATCAAACCCTTGGTAATGATACATATATTTAAATCAGGACTCCTTAAGCATCTTAAATCTGTCACGGTCTTACTTTCTGTTTATCTTTGATCCGTGTGTTTTATTGGTTTATTTTCTACTTTGTGTTTCTAGATTTATTTTAGTTCTCAGGTTTTTCTGTTGTTGTCCTATGTTGCCGTCTTGTGTGTGTTACTTTCCCCTTGGCTCCCTCGTTGTCTCCACTCACACCTGCTCCTTATCTGCTCGTAAGCCCTGCCTTTGTCTCAGTCAGCTATATATACTCTCCCTCTGCTGTCACTCCTTGTTGGTTCCTCTGTTGTTGCTGCTTCTGTCGTTGCTGGTTCCTCGTTGCTGTTGTCATCTTACCTCGTCTCTCTCTCCTCGTTTTCCCCTGATGTCTCCATGGTTTTTGGTTTCTTTACATTTTTTGTTGGATTTTTGGATTCCTGCCTTGGTTAAACTGTTTCCTCTGATTAAATCAACAAGAAATCACCTTAGCCTCTCTGCCTCTGCATTTGGGTCCTCCAAACCTCAACCAAAACGTGACAAAATCATACTAGACGGTATTGCTGAAGGACCAAAGCTAAAGGGAACCAATTAGACTTGTAATTATTATCAGTATTTGTATTCTGGTTTTTCAAAGTGTTGTTTTTTGTGCAATGAATGAATCTCTCTTTTATCAGTTATTTAAAGAAGATGACATTTTCTACTTGGATAAAGAGGAGCAAACACCAAAAATTGAACCTTACTTTAATTCTGGTTCTAGGAAAACAAAGTAAATCGTTCTACCTGGTTCACACCTGAGCAGAAAATCTGATATACATTGAGATCTATTATCATTTAGTGCTTTAAGGGCCATGAAGGAGTTTTAAATCACTTAAAAAGTGCAGTGATTTAAGAACTGGTGCAGTGTGATCCATTTACTCAATTCTGGAACTAGTACAGCGAATGGGCTGCAACTGCCTTTTCTTTTGAAGAAAATATTTATAAATGCCATTACAATCACTATCAGAAATCAAGTAAGCAGCATTATTTTATCTATTGTTTGAACTGAAAACCCCTTTGTTATTCTGGTGATTCAGAAACCCTGAATTCTGTTTTGACTTGTCTATTCACTAATATTACAAACACCTGTCAGGTCAGAAATCATAAGCCATAGAGCTCTATAATCTCAGCTAATGAGGTAGATGTTAAAGTATTGTTTTTTTGCAAGGAGCAACAAATAAAGGTGACATTTGGCTCTAATCGCCACCACCCTGAAACCCAAAACACAAGATGGTACAGGGACAGCCTCTCTTTAAAAAATATGATGTATAATTACTATTTTCAAAGAAGTCCGTGACAAACAAGTCAGCATTGAAGAGTTAAAAAAGTTTACTGGAATGGACTGAAAATATATAATATATGAAAGTGGGTATAAACTCCTGTGTGTTTCAAACTCTGCTCTAAATTATTATTCATCAATAAAAACCCTTGCTAATGATTTTCGACAACCGCAGCAAAAGGTTAACATTTTTTTGGGTTGCAAACCTTTGGTGCACATCTAGGCATACGCTATCATAAGTTCTTTTTTTTTGTGTGTGTGTGTTTTTAAACTCAATCATAATTTCACAAGTATTATTTCTCCAGCAGCTTGGCTGAAGGAGTACAAGCGATTGTTGCCTTAATGTTCAAGTTACAATGTAAATTAGTGGGGAAAGAGCAACGTCACCTCCTGTGTGTTGAGGTAATGTTAGTAGTCTGAGAATCGAGCCCTGAGGAACTCCACTTTAAATGACACCAGGTAGTAAAGAGTCCTGTACCATGAAGCAAACTCTATGTAGCAGCATTACTTACAGTCTATCCAGTTTAACAAAACCCCAACAATGGCAGCTGTACAACCAGGCTGATTATCAGCTTGCTAACGCAAACCAGCTCTGACTGATCATGAATCTGTCAACATGCACGAATAAAGGGGCGGGTTCAAGGTAGCTGACCAATCACAACTATGAGTACAGAAGGGAGAGTGCCCATGAGGAACAAAAACAAATCTTACAGAAATACAAAGAGAGGAAAAAAAGTTTTAATGAAAAGTCAAACATGGTAGAGGAATAAAATAAGACAACAGCCGGCTTGGTAAATGATTGCTGACTGTGTAAATGAGCAAGTTTCTTTAGTAATTTTAACATAGCCATACATCCCAATCATCGTACATCATGTTTATCCCCTAAAAAAAAAAAAAAAAACATAATTTCATCTAATTAGTTGTACTTTTTAAATTAAACAATATCTGGGCTACAATAAAAGTGGAATCTGATGCCACAATAGCATGATAATAATACAAGAACTAATCAGTCTGAGTGAAATCATCTTGATTTCTGAGCTGTCAGAACTTTTTTTTATTTTTATTTTTGTACCTAGTGATGCACCATTAATCCCCCATTGGTGCAGCTTCAGCATAACATTTAGCCCTCTCATTTATACTGTTATAGCAAACAATAATAACAAAATATATATATATATATATTTATATGATGTTCAGGCAAGTGGCCATGCAGACAGATAATTAATTCATTCATAAATTGCATCACAGGTGACTTGATGGACAGAGAGTACTGTTCCCGAGCCTTTCAACATCCTTGACAGGGTATTTGAAGCTGCCGGTTGTGTAATATTGCATAGCCATACATAGAGATTGTGATGCAGTGAGTGCTGCACTGCTACGGGTCACAATGCAGCCAACACACACTTCCAGGATATTGCATATATGCCAGTCCGGCCCTTGAAATAATTGCCATCTTGATCCAAAGGATCTTGTTTGAATCTGAATTTTATTACTTTATTTTTCTTGATACAGCTTCATATATCAGTTATAAAAGAAACCAGTGAATGCCAGCGGTAAATAAGGACATTGCACAGGAGAAAACAAATACAGAATAGTAAAAGGTTGGTATGTCAAAAAGTATGAAAAATAATCATAAATAAATAAATTGAAAAAAGAATTTGTTAAATAAACATTTAGCTTTATCTGCTTTTTGTTGTTTAAGTTTTATGTGCGCTCTGAAATAAATCAGGTTTTCAATGAAAGGGCACTTCATCAGCGTTTTCTGGCATTCAGATCAATTCTCAAAGCGAGCCTGACCTGGAGCAGGTTTGCCATTCAGAGTACGTTACCACGGTGACTGTCCTCGTTAGAATAAATCCATGTTCGTCTTAGCGAAAAGTCAGGGTTAAACCTAAAGTTGTCAGCTAACGCAGCAATCCTGCTTCATGGGACAGGCCTCTAGTCTGTCAGTACTTATATAAATGCTGCCATTTTCCTTCACTAAAGCCTCCCTTTAGTGAAGTAAGTGTTTTTTACCTGATATATAAGGAACAGCTCATAAAAGGAACCGTTTGGACACACATACATCTACATCTCCCCAATCCTAATAGCTAAACCTGATAATGTACCGGATTTATGAAGGAATCAAAATTGTTTTCATATTTACACTGTAAAATGCATTAATTAAACTTTTCCTTAAATTTTCACAACTCATACTTGATCATTTTGAATTGACTTATCTTCACTATTTGGGAGAATCAACCATTTGAATCCCAAACTACTTTTTATATTTTATTATGTTTCTATGTTAATCATGCACTTCTTCATTTGCAGTCTCAAAAGACTTAAAACTCAGGAAATTAGAACAGTTTGACCAGGCAAGCAACCAGCAGATACAGGGTTCCACTTTTTGAAAGTCTTCTTAAATATATAAAGTTATCAACTATTTTTAGCAGCTTTTAGCACTTATTTAAAATGACTGAGTTTTTAATTAAACTGAATGTTGGGTATTCTTTTGGTGAATGTCTGGAACTCTATTTAAAAACAGCACTAAGTCTCTGAACCTGACCCTGCGTTTGAATCTGACCCACTGCAGCCTTGCAGCTAATTCTAAGCCTTTGGGAAAAGCTAATCTCAGCATCCAATTAGTCAGCCTGAACAAATCTGTTTTGTTTTGCAAGCACACTGAGCCTCTGCTATTACTGTCAGTCAGCAACCACCTCACAAAAAATGGAACATTGTCATTCTTAAATCAATGATAACCCTCTATACGGCACTCAGTGAAATACTTTGAAAATTAACATTTTAAGCCAATAGTGTTATTGGAATCCAGGACCAGACCTTATTAACTTTGTTGCATTAAAAAAATATGGATATTTTAATGGCAAAAATGTATGTAAATGTGATTACAGGAAACACCTATTTTATAAGAAATTCATGACAAACACTCTGAGAGTAAAAGAAACACATTTTTTCTGGTATAACATAACCTTAGTGTCATTAATGCTGATACTGGCAATTACAACTTTTATATAATAAACCTAAATATAATTGCTAACTTGGCTTATTAATTTTTTACTTTACTTTTTAATTTTTCAATTAACTTTTTACCTTTTTTTCTTGAATTATTAACTTTTGGTTTACAACTTAATTTCCAGTAGGTAATATATCATTCAAGGGCTCATCTAATTGGTCAAATACCAAAATAAGAGGTAAAGATATGTAGCAGGATCTTTGCTGAATGGCTGGATATAGATCTAGTGCTTCTAGACTTCACTGAGAGACGGGGGGACTCTATTAGAAAGGCAAGTGATCATAAATGATAACGTGCCCTATAAAGGGATAATGATACATTCAAAAGGATACTTTTGAATGTACCTTTAATGTTAAGAAATGAGTGTAGTCTGTTATGATTGATCAGATATATCTTCTATCTTATCCAAACCTCAGAGCCAAGATGCAATTCCCCCTGCTGGTGTGACGGATGGGGAAGAAGCGGATGCCGAGGATTCGGACAACAGCAAACGTCAGAGCGACACCAGCGCTGAAGAATCTGCACCGGAGGAAACTGGTGGCACTGCTGAAGAAGAGACGAAAGACAGCGATGGAGAAGACGGTGAGGAAGATGCTGTGGAGGAGTTTAGGCCTGAGCAGGAGGGTAGAGAGGAGAAGGAGGCTACTAAGAGCAAAAAAGAAGACGGGGCTCTTCTCCACCAGTTCACCAGGACCTCGGTGGAATCCCAGTCAGGCTCGATGGAGGAAGTCCGCATGGATCTACCTTCAAACTCTGCTGTCAAACGACCAAAATGATTATAAACTGGACGAACAACCACAGAGCAGAACGACTATCGGCTCTTTTAGGAACTACGCTGGTTCACCGCTCAAACGTTTGGTTTTAAAATCTCTCTTGAACACTTGAAGCACTTTACTTCACTGGATTTTGCATAGAAGTCATCATGTTGACTTGCTGAAGTACTCATACCCCTCAGTGTTTTCAACATGCTGTCATGTTCCAACCTCAAATTTTCCTGTAGTTGATTGTGGTTTGATGTAATCGATGAATACAAAGCACCATACTTATGTAATAATAGCAAATGGTAATATTATGAAGAATGTCATTTTTCATGTCAATTAAAACCCCTAATGCTTAGACTAGATCCCCATGAATTAATTTACCTAAACACCCCATAAGAAAAGAGTTTTCAGGGTTTATTTGTCATTTAAACCAAAGCATCGAAGAATCATGAGTCCACTTTTAGCCCCCGGAGTAAATCTGAATCTTTTATAAATCACTTAAAGGTATAGTGGAGGATCTTCTTTTTCTGGGTGGATCATAAAATTAAGTGGTCCTTCTAATTGTCAGTCATTCTGAGGATATGTTTACATAAGGCCGTCCTACGTGCTCGTCACTATTTTCACGTACCGGTGGTAAGTCTGACATAGTGGAAAAATTGCAGATCTTCTTTTGGAAAATATGCTTGTATGAGCAATGCAAACAGCAACTTTTAAACATTATTATATTATATGCGTGTGAGAGCTTGCACGAGCCCATTTTTCCTCGTGCACGCTCTCACACGCATATAATAGGCATTCCCTCTCGGGGGCGGGTACATGGTTGTGCATGTGCTTTTTTTTTTTTTGTATTCCAAAACTTATTGTTGCTTATGAGTTCCAAAGTAAAGTAACATTGTACCTTTAACATACAAACATAAATACATAAAATGGATCAAGTCAGAGTGAACACACTGTGCAATCAGACATACATACAAACATAAATACATAAAATGGATCAAGTCAGAGTGAACACACTGTGCAATCAGACAGAAACAGATACAACATTTTGGGGGGGTTTTTTTAAAGGGGAGAGGGCATGTCTTTTCTAAAATTTGACCAAACAAATCCTCCACTATACCTTTAAAACAAGGCAAGTTGTATTTGATTGATCCCTTTTATTTTCTAGCTTTTTTCAGATAATTGAATCTGGTCAAACTTATGGAAATCAAACGTATTTCCACAACTGTTTTAGCTTTTTTTTTTTTTTTTATAGTTCCATCAATTTTCAGACATACAGTATGACGGCCTGTAAGGTGGTCAGAGCTAAAAGAGAAAATGGCTGGTGCTAAATACACAGCACTACTAGAAGGAACATGTTAGCCTTGAACGATACAACCAGAGCTAAAACCAGAGCATATCACTGTGTTAAAATGGCCTAGTTAAAGTTTAAACCTAAATCCAATAAAATATTTGGGGATAAGGCTGGAAATGTTATGTCCATTTTCACTGAGTTCTCCCCATACAGACTTGTATCTGGTGCAACCTTTTGCTGCTCAGTCTTATAAAACCCCAATAAAGTACATTGAGATTTGTGGCTGCAACATGACAAAATGTGAAACGGTTTAAGAGGTATTAAGATCTGTGTTGCACACTATAAGCAACATCATTGTAGAAACCTGAAACTTGAACTCGAAGGAGGTGTCTGTCTGGAACCACATAGCTTATAATTGTATTAAGACTCATGTTGGAAATATTGATATTTGACTTAGATTCTGTGTTCAAGATTTATCAAAACATATAGCCAATCATAATCTAAGTACCTCAGAGATGTTTTGTCATAACTTCTTATAGTGGAGTTTGACAGAACCGTTTTTTTTTTTTTCAGTTTTTTATTTGTTCGTTTTGTGTTTGTCTCATGAAGTACATGACGTATTTTCAGTGGTTCGGACAGCCCAACGCATTAGATAGATCAGCTCAAAGCTATTACTTAACTACCTAAATCTGTACCCCGCGGGGAAGTTTAAATCTACAAAAACTCTGCGGTGTAAGTAGATTACCTGAAAGAAATTGATATTTTTGGAATGTTGTACTCTACTTTCTGGCGTAACATAGACATGATATCAGTATAAAGATGTTTATATGGATTTAATGTCACAGAAACCTCAGAGGCTGGACCTGATCAAAGTTGTTCTAGAAAATATTAAATTATACATTTTATTCCCTTGTTAGAGTATTTATTTTTAATGAACTTATCCCAGGCTCAGCTTCAGGCTTACTTTTTAAGATTTAAAGCAGAAGTACTGAATGTTTTCTGGACAGTGAGAATGTCTTGCTTTGTTTGACAAAAGCCTCTTATTTCTGGTATTAAGGGGGAGGGGGGAGTGTGCCTATGCTGCTATTGGTTTTAATGGTTGTCTGTTAATCTGAGTCATCACTATTTAGAGTACACTGATAAACAAAATGATTGTAACTATAAGGACCTTGATGAAAATAAACAAATGATGATCTCCACATATTGTCATATATTGTTGCTTTTTTCAAACCCATTCAGCTCTGCATCAATCTACCATAATATCCAATTTTTTCACATGTATATTAAAATCAAAATGTTGAACTAGAATATTTACAGTTAGTATTGACCCCTGTTTAAATGACTATATATTTAACTTTCTAAAATATTTGCTTTATCCGATTTTAAACCCCAGTCAGCCTCAGCAGATGGCCGCTCACACTGAACCACTAAGCCTGGTTCTGCTGCAGGTTTCTTCCTGTTAAAAGGGAGTTTTTCCTCTCCACTGTCGCTACAAGCATGCTTAGTGTGAGGGATTGCTTCCGAGTCAATCGGATGCAATCAACTGTTTTTTTTCTTAGATAGAAAACCTTGAATCTATTTGACTGATCTGGTGAACTTTGAAGTGCCTTAAGATGACATGTGTTGGAAATTGGCATATATATATAAATAAACTGAATTGAATAGGTAAATAGATATACTTGGTGCGCTGCAATGTTTCTGTAGCCTGGGTGTAAGGAGCTATTTTCGCCACAAAATTTGTTCAAAATAATGACTTTTTATGTGTTCAATAGGAAACACTACATTTTAGATACAAGTTTATCTTTTGAACTTGAAGATTTTTTTTCCTGAATTTTTTATTTTATTTAAGGAGTTTAGAATTAGAGGATAGTATATTTTGAGGTCAGTAAGTGTATTTTGAAACTCCATATCAATGCCAAAACAGGGCCATACATTTTAAGCTAAAAAAAAAAAAAAAAAAACTTCAAATCTGAAAGCTTGTTTATTTACTTTTGAACAAAAAATTACTGGTTTAAATGTATTTCTTTTAAACAAACCATTATTTTTCTGGTATATATTTTCAGGTTTTACATTTTTTTAACAAGTTTTTTTTTTTATTTGACAAACCTTTTGTCCCTAACTTAGCTCCATACTTTGCTTTAGCATGACGGTAGAATCGCTCTAGAGAGAATGTTGTTTTGTTAGCACTCTACACAACCCTGCAGCATCCTAACGCCTATGTCATGCTTTATGTGGACTTCTATTCTGCCTTCTCTTTGGAGCTTCCATTAGTCTCCACATAGAAGAGTTCCACTTTCTGAAACTGTAGTGCTGAAGGGAAAAAACCTCAGAAAAAACACCAATAAGACCAAGGAGGCCATTTTGGACTACAGGAGATACAGGTGTACTGAAATCTCTCCTCTCTGCATGCATGGGTAATTGATGGAGCATATGGATGGCATACATTTCCTGTACATCTACATTTTCAACAACAGCTCCTCTTGTTGGGTTCCTCCGCCGACTGGACAAGAATGGGCTGCACAGGACAAATGTTTCTGCTTAAACAAATTGAACTAAAATTCTTATCCCAGTGCTTTCTGATAAAGACGCTTGTTGCCCTTGACCTTTTTAAGGTTTTTACTTAGTTTCTTCCTACAGCATTTGGCTCTGCGCTCTGGGTTCTTCCAAAGCTGCTCAACTGTTTTCAAGACGCAAACACACACTAATCCGGTACCTGTGACTGTGTGTTACATCATGCAATATAGCCTACATGGACAGCCACAGGCCACAAGCTGAAGATCATCTGTGAAACATTAACTGGCTTAGAGATTTCAGTTATTCCGAATAAAATCACAGCATGGTTTGTTAAAAACATGTTTACAAGATGTGGAAAAAATGAAATAATTTTCGAGAAAAAGTGGTACTTGGATATGTTAATTTCTTCTTTCACTTCAGATTAGAGCGACAGTGAAGTCAGGCCCTGAAATTGAAAGGTTGACGGTTCAAGCCCCACCTCTGGCTTTCAGTGTCGTCGTGTCCTTGGGCAAGACACTTCACTTGCATGCAATGTATCTTGCCACCATCAGTGTGTGAACGAATGGGTGAATGACTGTTTGTATTGTAAAGCGTTTTGAAGTCTCCTGACTTAAAAAGGTGCTATGTAAGTACAGGCCATTCACTTGACCAAAAATCTTCACATCATGAGGCTGCCAGCCTCTCTGAGTTTCTTGTCTTCGCTCTCTCTGGTTTCCTTTCTGTCAATAAACTGGTAATCTTTTACCCTGCCTCTGAATGGTGTTCTGCATGTGGGCAAACTTTTAAGATCCCATCATGACACACTGAAAGTGACTTTTAGATTAATCTGTAAGCTGTGATAACAGGGCATAAACATTCAAGATGTGTTTAGTTATAAAATGATGCTGTATTTCATTGGTACATACGAACCTACCAGATATTTCAGCAGAAATATATTTAATAACACTTGTACTAAATAGTGATAATATGCAATTACTGCCTACTGACTTGATCTCAGTTCCATCATATTCTTTATAATAAATTTCAGATTAACCACTTCTTGTTCACGTAGCATGAGCTTCTCCTGTATGCATGACATTTGGTTTTGTGTCTTCAGGTATAAACTCTCAGTAGAGTTCATTATTAGATGATCAGAGCAAGCCTTTTGATGAGGTGTATTTCAGCAAACATTCCTCTACGGCCTCTCTGATGATTGCCTTGCGCTCCAATAGAGACTTCGCCTCCTTTACAGAGCAGCCAGTCAGCAAGCAAACCAGAGCCAATGGAACAACCTGAACAACAGTCAGAGAGAGCCATCAGTATAACTTCTTACATTTGAATCTTCCTGTACTTCTGTACCTTCTCGCCTTTTCCGGCAGCGTCAGTATGTGTTTTTAAGTGGCAGGTCATCATGTCCTCTGTGAGTTTGTCCACTTGATAGATTGCCTTCAACAGGGCTTCCTCACACTGTGACTCTGATCGACCAGACAGCGTCTAAAATGAAACATTTTCGCAGTATTAGCAAAAACGATATTAGAGATATAAGAAGATATTAGAGATCAGAAAGATCACCTTTTATTTTTTTATACCTGAAGTAATCGTGTGGCTCTGTGGTAGAGCTTGCTATTGGTGACTTGCAGATCGATCATGTAGTTCTGGTATACCTTTCCCTTGAAGATGTGAGCTCCAGTGCTCACTGCGTTCAAAAGCAGCTTGGTGGACAGCTCCCACTGCTGACAGACGTAATCAATTCAAATTAGTCTAAGGAAAACCAGCTGATTGCATCGACTTATTGACTCTTCAGCAATCCAATGCATGCTTGGTGTGAGGGATGCATGACTGGGGTTCAAGGAGACAGAAGCAGAGATACAGAAGGCAACTGTCAATCAGCTCCACAGGCGACCTTGTCCAGGGAACACACAGCCAGCCAAAAGAACTCCAAGCCAGCTCCCATTTCAGAGAATGAAAGAGAGCACATAATCCTAAAAACATTTGTTAGTTAATCTGTTTAGTTAATCTAAATATAAGTCTTTCCAATATGTTTGGTTCTTTGATTTAATAATTAAGGTTCCCCACGAAGGAGGTGGCAGACTAAAAAAGTTGACATAAATGGGCTAAACTGCTTTGGTAAGAAGCTAAATGGTAAACGTGTGCTGTGTACCTACCATGTGCTGCAAACTAATGAAGACAGTTGTTTCTTGGGGCCATGTGAAGTCGAGGGTGGATGAACACTGCTTATTTATTTCATCCTACAACAAAAAGGAAGAGTATATTATACAGACTAATGCATTTTGGACACCTTCACATTTTGCCAAGTTAAAAACCAAAAGCTTCAGTGTATTTCTCAGTACTTTATAGGGTTGAAAAACATAAAGTAGTATGGCATCTATTTATATTTGTTAGGAATCCAGTTTGTGTGGGTTGCTTGTGTGTTTTTCTCCCTCCACCACCAGGTGGTGCCCTGTCCTAGTTCGGCCTCCCTGCACACTTGCGGCTCATTGGATCATTACTGGAGGAGTATTTGAGTAGCGGACTGTCACTACCTCACCGCCAGAGTGCTTGCCAGTTTTGGGTACTCTAGCCAAACTGAGATTAGCAGAGTCTAACCTAAGCTTTGTTTCTCTGAGACTTAACTAGTTTTTGTCTTTGCTCTTCGGCAGGAAGCCATCCCGAGTAACTGGATACCTGGACCTTCTCCACCTGGAAGGATTTACTGAGAACACACTGAGCAGGGGAAAACCTCCACATGATCCGTTCAAGTCCTCATCGGAAATCCAAGTGACAGTCCGCTCCTTTACTTCTCTGGGTCCAACGCTTGTCTATCTGTCCTCCCTCCAACGAGTTCCCTCTTCTCTGGATTTACCCCCATAAGCTGGATTCAAGGTTTGACAAGAGCTCCCTCAAACATGAGTCCCTCTCCTGTAATATTCAAGCCTCATTCAAATTTCCTACGGTCCCTGAACTGATCACTGTGATCTCCCCTTCAGACTTTCCTGTTCCGGTTCACCAGTCCACTGAGTTCCAGGTCCAACTTCTGTTAATCATCTACATTTAATAAACCTGTTTAACGTTTTCCTTCGGTCCCTGAGTGGTTCTCTGCATGTGGGTCAGATCGCTTAAACCCATCATGACAATATTTAGTTTTTTATATTTATTTTGATAATAATTTAATAATATTGATGCAGCTGTAAACCTGACCAGAATTAAACTTTGTGGTATAATTAATTGACCTTCTTATATGCCCCATTGTCCCTACAGAAAAATAGCATCCCCTAAGCATGACTCTCTCTCAGCTGTGCTTTGCTGTTGGGATTCCTTTGTTTAATAATAATAATTCTAGAAGAAAACATTTAAGAGTTGGGAATAACTTGGTGGAAATCTGCCTTCCAGTGGTTAAAAAAAAAGCAAATCCCTAATTTTAAGAAAGTTCTCATAAAATCGAATTCATTTTCTTGTTTCAAAGTGACAAAATAATAACATTCAAGAGCTATATATTCTTTTGAATAGCACTACAGATGAACAAACAAATACTTGTTGTTCGGTGGTGTCTCCATCAGCATGATGATAAACAGAATGGATATTAGATGTCTTTTCCCTCACTCTGCGCGCCAGCCTTGCCACCCCGTCGACATCATCTGCGAGGAGAGGCTGTTAAAACACATGCTGACTCAATCTGCACAGAAACCAATCATCAGTGATCACTTGCGTTACCAGAATGAGAGTACAGAAGCAGAACCATGTCCTTGTCAGTGAGACAAGGCAGGACGCTGTTCAGAAAGTCATCATGAGTGATACCAAACTCACAACCCTAAAGACGGAAAGGGAAAAAAAGAGAGGGTTTGATCTACCATCCATCTGTTTTATTGTTTGGAAATGAAAAATAATTAAAACATGTCTCCTTCTCCTTTGTCTTTACATTACTTTCAGTAGGTCTACTGTAATAATAAAATCCAGTGACGTTTAGGAGTTCAATAAGAACGTTAATCAGGCATAACGGCTCTTAAAAGCACCATTTGGAGAACTGCAATCTCTGCCTATGTGTAAATCTGTTCAGTTTATTGTTGAGAAGCATTGTTAAAACTTGAAGCTGAGTTAAATGCATTAATTGCCAATTAAGCTGATGTTAATTCACATACCATCAAATTTAAATCACCCTCTTTGTTGCCCAGCTCTTTGTAGCCTCCGCTGACAAAGCCTCTGATGTCTTCATAGTCTAAGAGACTCACAAACGAACACATTTAGAACATCTCAAAGAATAGAGAACATTTGGGGTCGTTTCTGGCTTATTTCACCTGCTCCAAAAGTGGGTTTACATTCACTGGCGTCAATAAGGCCCAGCAAACCGAGGGAGCCCCAGCCCAGGTAACACACCCGCCTCCCACACTGCAAACTGAAGCACATCCCTGTCTAAAATGACTCAGAGCACCTTAAGATATTATATTCATCCAAACTATAATATAACACCAGCTCTAGTCCAAAGCATGCAGTCAGCTGGATTATGTCATTTCATGGTAATTACCTGTGTCCAGCAGCCTCCATGAGAGCAGCAATCCCCTCTGCTTGTGAGTATGTGACGTCCAGAGCTTGTTTATAAGATTTCATGCGCTGCAGAATCCCACTTTGTAGCATAAACAATGTAAAAAAAAAAAAAAAAGAAACATCAGTCTCAATTTTTGTTGAACTAATCCAACTGGGTCTTAAATTTTATTTTGGTACTCAAAGTAACCTCTAGAGGTCAGCAACCCCTTGCCGAACATAAAGTGCTTAGGCATTTTTGATCACATCTACTGCTTAAAGGTTTCATACCAACTGCCTGCTTGTATGTGTTTAACTGGCTGAAAAAAAAAAACAACTATCTGTGTTTTATTTGCTTCTATGCCCTGATGTGCGGCAGCAGAGTATTAAAAGAAAGCCCCTCTAATGTGTAAAGCTTGTCCTGGTTTCTCAAGTGGACGGTTTGATGGAGGTGACTTCAAGCTGTTGCCTCCGAACACAAATAAGCACTTAGAGAGCGGTAGGCTCCTCTGGGTGCAGAAAGTAGGACTCAAGGCACTATAAAGTCATATCGGGGTGACTAGAGATAGCATTGATGCCTGCTGTTGATCAAAGATCAGAGTATTCAACTCTTGTTTAGAGGCTGGATTTTGCCTACGAAACTTAAATGGAGATGCACAAAATTGCTATAAATGAAACCTTGAAAACAAAATTACTCACTAATATAAAATGGTCTAGCAGAAATTGAAACAATCCTTGTTAATGATAGACCCTTAAACAGAGACTAGTGCATCCTAAAGACAAAACCCCAAGACTAAGACTTAGACTTAGACTTCCTTTATTGTCATTGCACAAAAAAACACAAGGTGAATCTTGACAACGAAATGTCGATTACTTGGCTACCAGTGTAACAGAGCTAAGACCTTGTTCCTGCACAATAAATATGTTTTCTATAACTAAGAGCTAGCTATATACAAGGTAAGAGTATATATATACATATATATTGCACTGAGTTATTGAATATTGCACTGAAGAGTTATTGAAAACATTAGATTGAAGACAAAACTAAACTAACGACGAAATACAGTATGAGCAGAGTGTATGCAGTTCAATGCAGTGAGGAATGCTCTGATCTTTATAGTGGAGAAACTAAACATCTCCACAGACGCATATCTTGGCTGTACATCTACATCTTATGGACAAAGGACATTCTTTTGAGGACCAGAATGTTCACATTTTGGACAAAGAAGACAGCTGGTTTGAAAGGGGTGTGAAGGAAGAAAGAAAAACCAACTTTAAACAGAGGAGGTGGGCTCGGGTTTGAGCTTTTAAAAACTTACAGTGTAGTGATAGAATTGATTCCTTCCCACTGACATCGCAACCCCTACCCCCATACAGGGCACCCAAACATCTTGCCTTGTCAGCGTGGCCAAAAATTCCCCATAACGACCCCCTATCAGAGGCATAGACCAGTACCGGGTATTCCAGTCTAACAAAGAACCCAAATGACTCCCCATTCCTTAGGTGCGGACCCGTTCTTCCCGTTCAATTTGCATGTTTTCTAAGCCAAAAGAAGGATTTGGCCACTCTATAAGGCTACATTCAACACTAATTCTGACATTTTGAATTGAAAAAGCTTCCTTGATGGGAAGTGAAACATCTTCAAACTTGGAAACAAAGTCCAGTGGATTGTTTTTTAACTTTTTTTGGAATTTTTATGACAGAGGCAATATGGCTCACCACCCAGGTCGACATGGCCTTGGTGGTCAGAACAAGTTTTCACAGAAGGAAGTTGCACCCTGCACAACTACTTTATCTATATAGGTTTGTTTTTGAAAACTTTCAGCTTTGTTCTTCAGATTTCCTGTGAAAGAAAACCTTTTTTTAATATTTTAAACATCTAGCTGTGAGTTTGGAGGTTGTCTTTCATTTATATTCTGTTTGCTTTATGCTGTGTCCCACAGCCTGGTACCACCACCCCTGTGCTTGGCAGTTTGTACAGATTTCTTTTGTTAGAAACCCCCCACTGGCAAAGTATATCAAGTCATTGGGACGTATTAGATCAGTGTTCATGTAATCATTATTTACTCCAACTTGTGCACCAGTAGCTAGCTTTGGAAGTCCTAACCAGCAACTGAATCTAGCTGCAAGAGCACTAAAACTAATAAAAAAAAAAAAAAAGAAAACATAAATCTGAGACAAAAGCATTTACAGTTAGAAGAAGTGCTTTTAACTAAAAGTCTGACTGCACAGCTTCAGTTTGAGCTTCAGAAAACTTAGATTACAGTTCCCAATCAAGCAGCTGCTCATAAAGTCCTCTGGACAGTATCCCTGTACTTATACGTACTTGTATAAGATGGGTGTTCTTGAGGAATTGGCAGCATGAGCAGCAGAAAAGACGACCTCCAGGAGAATCTTAGTGGCGCTGCCTCCCTTCATCCTCGAGGAGCCGCTGATGGCTTCCGGCTGAGCGGACACAAGCATTCACACACTCAATCTGAGTCACTGCCGGGACATTTTAGAGGCTTGACACAAACGCAACATGAAAAGTTGGAGGAAGAATTGGGATAATAAGCGCCGGAGAAGGAGTACCCCGAGTGCTGGGTTGATGAGGAAAGCCTTTTGCATTTTGGAGAGCTCTTGCATCCTTTCCACCACACTATGAAATGTGAACGTGCAGCCAGGTATTGGCTCCTTCCTACACAGTGAAACACACTCTATTCAGACCACTTTCTTACAGCTTTTTCAAGCAACATTTATATAATTATAAATAGATAATTCAATACTTTGTCATTTTACAATTACAAAGTTCTGTGTATTCTATTAGGATGTTATATAACAAACTAAAAGCAAATAGGCAGAGCTGCAAAAGGATGTTTCAGACCTTAATAAATCCAAACCTTAATTAGAGTAAGGATCTGCATCCTTTAAGGTGAGACAGTGATATTAGGTCGTGTGAATACTTGTGCATGACTCTGTATATTCATGCATCTCACCTGGCTTGATGTGCAGGATTAAAGCCTATCAATACAGGAGTGTAGACATCAGGATGCTGTAGGCAGACATCCAACTGACCGGCCACAAATGGAGCCTGGTGGGGGGCACCTATTAGAACCATTCGATCTGAAGTATTAATGTGTCGAAATACAAATAACACTTACAGACAATCCACAGGAGATGCCGATGAACAGGACTCTCTTCTTTCCCTCAGATACCTGAAGAGAACAGGAATAGTGATGCATTTCTCCTGTTTCCATTCAGGCGCCTGATGCGCACTAAAACGTGACGTTGCTGACCTTTCTGAGACTGAGCGAGCCCAATATGGGGTCGTCCTCTGGAGCCTCTTGGGAGGAAAATAGAGCTCTAAGGACAGAGGAGTATAGCATTGAAAATATGATTTTTTTTTTTGGATGCATGCAGGTTTTTCAGGCTTCTACAAAATTAGAGCAACCAAAAAGCACCTGTCTCCTCCTGCGATGATGTACAAACAGATCGCACCCTGGTTCAGCCGCCTTAGCTCTCTGTTAAATCCTGACTAAAAAATATGCATACACAATTCCAAAATCAACCTACTGTTTAAGCTCCTGTTTAATCGGAGCACCCAAGAAAGTTATTTTTACCGTGATGAAGAATGCAAGGCGCCCAGAAGTGCCACAGCCACTAAGTACGATGAGGCTGTCCTGAGGATCCTGTAAAGTAAAATCTAAATATAGTCCCATATCTAATCCATGTTAGTGAGCTGAAACATCCCCAAACAAGATACCTCTAAAATGAGCTGCACTCTCTCTGCCACCTTCATTAAGGTTTCCACCACTTGGTTGCTCAGAAGTTTCTAAAAAGAACAATAAGTGTCATATTACTGCAACAGAAGATACTCAACAACCATATGATTGTACCTCATAGGCTAATCCTGACTCTTCCTGAAACATCTGGATGTCGCAGGCGTGTAGCATCTTCACAATGCTGCTGGCTGGAGCTCTGTCTATTTCACGGGTTATAGGGTTGGACATCTCTGATACAGGCTCATAACCTGTAGACTGAGATTGGAAAAGTGGTGTGAAGACTCAACTTTGCTCCAAAATAGTGTCACTGTCTACAAAAAAATCCCGCCTTAAAATTAAGAATTATATTTTTACTTTCACTTTATTGTTTCCTCATTCTTTCACTTTTAGTGGCTTCAGCACAGTATGCCTCTCCAATACGTTAGCTTGTAAAAAGTGCTGTATTTCAGTTTTAGCAGGCCATTGCCCACATATCATCTAAGCAACATCCATCCATCCATCATCTCCTTTTTGGTCCTCGACAGTGTCGCAGGGGGCCGTTGCCTATCACTGGCAGTCTATGGGTGAGAGGCGGGGTCCATCCTGGACAGCCTGTTGTAGGGCAACACAGAGACACACAACCATGCACACACACAACCACACCTAAGGACAATTTAGAGAAGCCATTTAAACTAAACATTTAAACTTACATTTTTATTGATCACAATTGTCAGGTTGCCTTTAATTAGCATGACTTTATAAGGATTTTGAGTCCATCTCATCACTATGTTGCCTTCTTTTTAAATGCATTACTTTATATGTCAAAACAATCCCATGTTTTACAGTGTTATACATTTTATTTAAATGTACATAATGTCTCCTCAACATTGGGAGCAACACAGATCCGACCAATTCATTAACAGTCATGTTTTTGGGCTGTGGGAGGAAGGCGGAATATCCAGAGAGAACCCATGCATGTACAGGGAGAACATGCAAACTCCATGCATGGGCCGGGAATTGAACGCGGCACCTTCTTACTGCAAGGCAACAGTTCAACCCATTGTGTCACCGTGCAGCCCTGAAGCAACATACAGTACCTATAAAATCAGCCATCTATCCATATCTAGCAGATTTCCTGCTTTAGCCACAAGTAAATCTAACCTGCTGGACCCTCACAGTTTCCATTTCCTGTAACTTTGTGCCACAGTTAGCATCGTACAAATCCTCAGAAGATAACATATACACTTCTAGACTTACTTCCCAATCAGGAGTTGAGGAAAATGCAGGAATCCTGTCTGGTTTTGCCCTGTCTGCCATTTTTCTTCTAGAAAAACAAAATCAGCTCCTCAGAAGTGTAGTTGCAGAAGCTAAAGCGAAAGCCACAAACCACATTCACTGTCTGAGGTAAAAGGTTCACTAATAGACCTTTGAGACCCAAGAGGAAAAGTAACACCCACAACAGAGGGACTTTGAGAGTAGCACCTTTTTTTATGGAATCTGGGCCATTTTTTATGTGTAAATAAGAGCTTCAAAGGGTTACTTCTTTTATAGCTGCTGAATTTAAAAATCAAGAAAGGAAATATGCTATTTTTAATCTGAGTATATTGTTTTGATAAAAATACCACTCAAAAAAATCATTGATTTTATAAAAAATACCAATTTTACTAATACAGGAAAGCCTCATAATTCATTGCCTGCAGCATTTTTACATTTTTTTTCATTGCAATTGTCAGGTTGCCTTTAATTAACATGACTTTATAAGGATTTTGAGTCCAGCTCATCACTATGTTGCCTTTTTTAAATGCATTACTTTATATGTCAAAAAAAATCCCATGTTTTACAGTATTATACATTTTTTTTTAAATGTACATAATGTCTGCTCAACCTTGGGAGCAACACAGATCCGACCAATTCCCGGCAGTCAGAAAATATTTACACCAAAGCAGATTGTGGAGTCTGATACATTTCTTCACTCCTCCGAACTCCCACCACCGTCTCTCAGAGCTGCTGGCTAATAGCTGTCAGCGACACGACAGCGAGGGTGTTTTTCACATCTTGTTCCAAGCAGAAAGAAAAAGATCAGCAATATATATATTTTTCCTTTATGTTGGGCAACGTGTGCCACCTTTTCAATAAATCTGACTCCTCGGTGGGCCTGTGACTCTACGATGATGTATAAGCATTACTCATTACTAGCTGACACTGATTATTAATGATATCTGACATCTGAAGAACGCTTTTGTGTTAACCTTTCTGAGTCAGTCCAACATCAGAGCTGTGTATGTGTGTGTGGGATGTGTGATAAATCAAAGTCAGGACGTTTTCTCCAATATTTGCTCCTTGCTTGAACTCTTACAGCCGAAAATAGATCAGTTTATTTCATGAAACATTAAAAATGACTCCTTTTATTGGCATTTTAAAAACTAAAAAAGGTAATGGTGCTGGATCAACACCAGTGGATGGCATGGCTGCTTAAATCATAACCAACTGGAAACTTTCCTCCAGACTCTGTAACCTTGATTTCCAAATAAAATGCTAAGTTTACTTTCATCCAAAAATTAGACTTTAGACCACCAAGTAATACTCTGGTAAAATCTTCAGTAATGTTGGGGAAATGCAATAACTATAATCCATTTCTTGGATATGTTCTATCTACCAAACATCCTCCTTTCACCCAACTTTCTTTAATGGTCTCAAATGTATGTTTTGGGTTTACCCTATTTTGTAAATGTATTTTTTTATATATATATTTTAAATCCCAACATTTCATTTTTTTTCCCAAAACATGATAATTAGAATAAACTAAAATGTCTTTTTTGAAATATGTTTGAATTTTTGTGATAGGATTCCAGTTTGTGTGGGTTGTTTTTTGTGTTTTCCTCTCTCATCATTACCAGAGGAGTACTTGAGCAGCGGGCTGTCACCACCTCGACGCCAGAGTGTTTGTCAGTATTGGGTACTCTAGCCAAACTGAGATTTGCTGAGTCTAACCTTTGCCTTGTCTCTCTGAGTCTAAGCTTTGTCTTTTGTTCTCCAGTAGGATGCCCTCCTGATCCACTGGATAAGCCTGGTCTTTCTACCCCCCTTGGAAGGAATAATTCCAGTCACACTGAGCAAGGGGAAACCTGCACCAGATCCGTTCAAGCCCACTTCAGGAAAACCCGGTGACAGTCCGTTCCATTGCTCCTCTGGACCCAACGGTAGTATGCCCGTCCGCCCTCCAACAAGTTCATTCATCTCTGGATTAAACCCCCACAAACTGGACCCAAGGGAAAACCTAGAATCCCCCTAACGTGAGTCTTTTCCTGCTATTCACCAGTCTCAGTCATTTTTCCTACGGGCCTTAAACTGATCTTTGAGATCTCCCCTTCAGAGTTTACAGTTCCGATTCACCAGCCCGCTGAAGTCCCACTGAGATAACCCTGATATAATCACTCTCTCTGTTTTTTGTCAACCTCTCAATAAACCTGCTAACTTTTTCCCCTGGTTCTCTGTGTGAATCTCTGCATGTGGGTGACATCTTTAAAGCCCATCGTGACATTCAGAACTTCATTAATGAAAAATAATGACTTTCTAATTATATTCTAGTCATTTCTGTCACATCAAAACAGTATTAACTGGTCAAAAATCAATAAAAGGGATGATTATCTGAGTATTTCAGAGTTGTTCTAATGAACCAAGTATTTAAATCATGTGTGTTGAAGCAAAGTTGATTTTAAAACCTGTAGAAACCCAGCACCAGAGGACTGAAACTTGACACCTATACCCTAAGAATAACCGAATTGTGATCTAAAGCACAAAAGTGTAGATACATGAGATCATAAAAATTCACAACCTGAATTAGGACAAATGTGAGAAATTAAATGAAATTAAATTAAATTTCATGTGCCCATATCTTTTATATAGTCCAGATACGTAACACAGAACTGTGAGAAAAGAAGAGGCACCAGACCAGGTGTTCTCCCCACTGCTCTGCGTGCTTAGCATTTTCACTGCACTTAAACACAGAAGGAGGTGAAGGATGGAATATGAAATTGAATACCAATAAAAACATAAGTGGTATCTTCTATTTGAAACATGATCATTTGTTTTTAGTGTACGTCCTTTGTACTTAATATTTTCTGTTAATATATGTTACATTGAGTGTCCAAGGCAATCATTAATGCAGAGGATGAGACAGTAATAATGTAGAAATTAAAGTGTCATGCAGAAGTAATCATACATCTAAAACTTGAATAAATTTAGTCATGATAAAACCATAGGCTTTGATTCTTTCTATTGGGATTTTTGCTTGGACAATAAAAATTATTGTGTTTTTTTATATATAATGGAAAGCAAATGGAGGGTTATAAAACATGTACAAAGAAAAATGTTAAAAAAGTGTCATGCATTCCTCAGTGAAAACCATCTCTGGAATTGCAGCAGAGAGTCCTTTCATGTTACTTTCATGTAACATACCCATAGAGACTGAAACCTTTACCCTTTCTGCCATCGGATTTTGAGATGCATACATGTGTGCAAGTTTTCCTCCACAGATATTCTTTCTGCTGATCCCACTGATCACTCGAACCGGACTCCACTCTCTTCCTCTGGTTATATCCCCCCACATTCTGCCTGCGTTGGTTCATTTTTCAGAAACTCAACACAGCATCCCCTCCCTAAATGATGCAGCAGCAGACTCCCTGGCCGGCAGGGAACAATGTCTGATCTAATGCATAACAGAGACAGAATATCTCACGCTGAACGGCCCTTCTCTCCCTGCCTCAGCTGGGGAGAGCAGTGCACTTTCTCATTAGGATGTTCATTCTGTGTCTCAGCAAGATTCATTTAAAACCTATGAAAAGCTCAAAAAAGCTCCTATCAATAATTAAGTCTCCTCTTGCTTCCTCTTGGATAATCTTTGTGTTCCTAAGTAGAAGCTGCTGCAGTGCTTCGATGAACAATGACCTTGAAAATTCAGGGAAGGTTCTTCGATTGCATAGAAGCTTTAAGATCTCCTCTCACTGGCAGTTAGCTAAAAAAATACCCAAAAGACGGAATAAACCAGTAACTCCATTCAGTGCACTAAAAAAAGAAGATCAACTTTAACTCTTATCACCTTAATTTGAGAAATCAAAGACATAATTTAAGTGTTGAGAAGAGTCAAATACACCCAATGAGGGTCATGGGCTTGCTTTAGCCAATACACATCCTCTCTGGTAACTCCAGCAACCAGCTCGTCTAATTACAAATTTCATCAATCACATAATTATCTATATTTTCATAAGCTTTATTAAGCAGATATTTCATGCTTTAACTTTCTGCAATTTAGGTCAGCTACACTCTCAAAAATGTTAGCAAACTTATCCATCTGTCCTTCATGTAGCAAACTGACCTCATGCTCAGGCTAATTCTTTCTGGCATTACGATATGAGACATTAAAAAATGCCCAATTGCCCTTAAATCATCAAATTGATCTAAACAGGCTTGTATTTATGTCATGAATCCTGGCACTGATGACTGGCTTAATAACTAACATCATTCACCTGTCTAACTCTGCCCGGTTTCTAATCCCCGCTCATATAGTCCACCTGCTCATGCCTCCATTTAAAGTGCTTGCATCCAGTTATCATGGCCAGACTATTCTTGTTCTCTCCAGCCAGTGGTGAGTGTTTTTAGAGTTCCTTGGTGTTTCTGATTCCCTTATCCTGACTTGTTCTGCCTCTCAGCCACTGAGCCTGCCTCTTCCCATCTGATCTCAGTGGTGAGAGGGTTTTTTTTTTTGCATACCTGAGTGTTTCTGGTTACCTGATCCTGACTTGTTCTGCCTCTCAACCATTGAGTCTGTCTGTTCTTGTCTGGACAGTTTGCCTGAACTGTCTTTGGACTCCTGGATCTCCTAACCAGCCTGTTGCTCTTCTGATCTGTTTGCCTGACCTGGCTTCGGACTCCTGGACCTCTGAGCCTTCTTGTTATGATCTGTTTTCCTAACCTGGCTTCGAACTCCTGCTTTTTCTCTGTGGCTGCAGCATCTGGGACATTCTGGGCAGCGCCCGAAGCATCTTGTTGGCAGCCCACCGGCTGTACCCTATGTCGTCCTCTGGCTAAGGACTGAACGGTTAATCCATCCTCCGTCAAATTATGTGGTCACTAACCTGTGTTTCTATCCTGCAGAGGTTACTCTCCTAGACGCCCTAGCCACCGCAGATCCACCTGTTTTTAATCAAGGCTTTTGGAAGTAATCCCAATCCCCATGTCTATCTTGCCTTGAATACTGGGTCCTCTGTTCTGGGCCTTGACAATTTACAGTGGAGACACTACTGATCACAGCTGCAAGT